AACTCCTGCTATTTACCTGTCGTCCACCCTCCTAATGAGCCCAAGTCGAAATTCGGAGCCTTTTCTTGAACCAGGAAAAACGTCCTTTTTCTCTGTTGGGAAATTTCAAAGATACACCTACACCGACAGTTTCCTTTGTAAGCACTTCATCTGTTAGATTTCTCATGACCTCTGTTTCAGGGAAGTGCTTCCTGGGCATGGCCACAGACCACAGCGTCAGAATCTTACTGTTGTTTTAGGTAAACAGGGATGGGATGTTTCAGAGGATATTTAAGAAAAGATAATCTGAAGGGGGGTGGGAGGAGGGGAAAAGTGTGTAGAAGAGGAGGCATAATGGCAGGAAGAGGGGAAAAAAATCTTTTTTTGCAACACCTTCTTAAGAATGAACTATTCTGAAAATATTCAGAAAGCAGTCCTTTGAAATTAGGGTTCATCTAGGTCATTTACGGATCAACAAGGAGTCAGGAGGGCCCCACAACATCACCTACCTGGCACTCATGACCCAGGTCGCCCTGGAGAGCCCTGGAAGGGGCAGAGAGGAGAAGAGGGTGCGCAGGAGCCCCAGGCGCCATCTGGGGCCGAGCGGGCGGGCTCGAGGGGGACTCTGCCTGGCGGGTGCTGCACCACTCACTTCGGGCAGGGCCCAGTCTTTCTCAACAGAGCCCCAGACACCTTTGCAAGAACCGGAAAGGGCACTCCACCCTCCAGGCAGTGGATGACCGCAGAGTGGGGCTGGGTTTGACCCTCGATGGCACCAGTCTAGACAAGACTCAGCGTCAGAAGCAGCTTCTACTCCTGGCGCTGTCATCAGCCGAGACCGTGCAAGTCACTGAAGCTCACAGGGCCTCAGTCCCTCCATGTCTAAGAAACAGTGGGCTGGCTATCACCTAAGGGCCCTCCCACTTCCCAGTTCTCAACGGAAATCCGGCAACATCCACGGGCACGTCTAATGGTGTCCCTGAGGTGCTGGGACACTGTGCAGAGTGGAGCCTTCAAAGTCTTTGTGACACTATATCTCTCTCACATTTCTGAAGTAGTTTTTCTCTTTTAATCTTAAGACTATACTCTCCTTTCTACTCCAAAGTGCTCAATTTTTCTTGAGCCATCAGGTCACACCCCACATATCAGCCCCAGACTACCCAAATGTCCATCAACGGACAGATAAACTAGGTACATCCATTCACAGAAATAAAAGGAGGACATCCTGACACCGGCATCAATTTGGACACAGCACTATGTTGAGCTAAAGAAGACACACAGGGGTCGGCACAGTGGTGCAGTGGTTAAGTGCGCACATTCCGCTTCTCAGCGGCCTGGGGTTTGCCAGTTTGGATCCCAGGTGCGGACATGGCACCACTTGGCAAGCCATGCTGTGGCAGGCGTCCCACGTATAAAGTAGAGGAAGATGGGCATGGATGTTAGCTCAGGGCCAGTCTTCCTCAGCAAAAAAAAAAAAAAAAAAAAGAGGAGGATTAGCAGTAGTTAGCTCAGAGCTAATCTTCCTCAAAAAAAAAAAAAAAGAGAGAAGACACACAAAAAGAACTTAAGATTCAATTGCATTTAAATGCAGTCCAGGAACAGGTTAAAATCAACCTATGGCAATAGAGGTCAGGACCACGGCCACCCCTGGGGCAGGGCTTACGATGTCAAGAGGGGCTTCTGGGCGCTGGCAACATCTGCTTTTTGATTAGGATGCTGACTGCCCGGATATGATCACTTTGTGCTGTACATTACCGATCTGTGCATTTTTCTGGTTGTATGTAATTATTCAGTAACAAGTTCAAAGAAATAAAGTCACAGCGCCCCCACCCCCACCTGCCATCTGTGAACCTGGACAGCACAGTGCTGGTACCCGTGGGGAGAAAACTAACCACATTTCATTTCATGTGAACCAGACAAAGAACTGCTGGAAAAGCTAAGGGAGAAACTTCATTAACTTCCTAAAATCTTCCTTCAGAACTTGCTTGATGTTTATAATTTTCTCCTTCATGTGAAACTGCGGTGATAAGCTAGCACACACTACTGCTTTTTCCTCGGTCGTGATATAACAGAGAAACGCTGTTGCTCAAAGTTCTCTAATGCATGTGTACAAAGGTGAAGAAAGTAGAAAACACCTGAAATATCCCAGGAGAACCAATTTGGAACACTGAGCTTCTAAACAGAGCTCTGAGTCAGAAACATCCCAATCATCACATTAACGAGACAACCTGGCTAGTGACCAAATCCCTACCTTGTTCTGAACTCGCTGCTGGTGAGGCCACACGGGGCGGGGCAGGTGGGACGAAGCTCCCAGACCCGGCCTTCTCCTTCGGCCTGCATCTGGTTGATCTGAATTTGGTTCAGCAGCACAGCTGTCTCCTCCTGAAGTAACACAACCAGCCACAGAACAGTGACTTCTCCCCCTTCCCCGCATTCTAGAAGCCTCTCTGACCAACATGGGAGACTGCGTGCGTGCTCCACTCGAGACATACAGAGTGACCCCACACAAACCTGCATCCGAGGCAACGCCACCACTCAACCTCGGGACAGCCTGGAGCTCAGAGAGCTTGTTTTCACTCAAAACCTTCACCCGTTACTGCTGGAGGGCCTTCTGGTCCCACCCGTGGGTGGCCGACACCAGCTCTCCCAAATGCTGGGGGACTAATTAAATATTTGTGGACTCATTGGGCTTAGACAAAAATGTTTCCAGTCTTTGAACTGGAAAGTGGCCTGGGGTGGGGGACAGTCAGAAGCACCCGGTCCCTGAACATTACTGAATACCAAACGAGTGACTCAACAGGACGGCAGGCGAGGCTCCCAGGGCAAACACCCCTCAGCAGCGCGACTTCATGTGTGCAGACCTCACTTCTAATCCTTCTTTTCTCAGCTGAAAAGATCTTATTTAATTTCTACTTTTAAATAGAAAGTCCTCCCTACTTCAGCTTTGTTTTAAATACTCATCCTTCTAAGTTTTCCTTGCAATTCAATGCCTAGTATTCTACTTCTTCCTTCCTCTCACATTCTCTATTTAACTTGTTCGTACTTATTTTTAAAAGCCCCCAAAGGCTCTTCCTCAGGATAATGCGCAGCTCAAAAAGGCCCCCCAACTACCCCCATATCAAACTTTAATGACAGAGGCCAACAATATCATTTTTCCTTTTTGGGTTTTAAGAAAGATACGTTTTAACCAAAATTTTGCCACTCTTGAAATTCCATCACTAAATCTTTCCTATTCCTCCCTCCTGCCTTCAATTGTTTAACACACAATCACAATGTAATCAAACTCCTAAAATGTGTAATTATATAGCCACACAAAGACTTCCTAGAATATATATAACCTCAAGTGTGCAACACACACCCTTTATAACTCTGGCGTTAGGAGTACAGATGAGAAAACACACTGGAGTTTTCTTAGAAGTGGTGCTGGCTTTTCTTGTTGGTGGGAGAGGAGGATGGAAGACCATCACACAAGGACCGACTGTTGTATCCGAAACCACGGACTGTGTTATGACAGGATTCTAAGGAAGACTATAAACACACTTAAGACATTTTTTCTTTAAAAGAAGAAAGCTGAAATTACATAAAGCAGAGAGAAAGCTTCTATAGTTTACCCACGGAGGACACAACACTGGACCCCTCCAGTTTCCCCTCTTATGAGACAGACAGAGGCTTCATCTACCAAACCAGGGCACTTGTGTGGTTCGTATTAAGGCGTAGTAGGAAAAACCCATCTTTGTATGAATGCAGAAAACTTTCTATCCTCTGGAAGACTTAAAACAAGATTAAAATAACTTGAGAAGGCCCGTGAAATGAATTCTGAACCCAGGAAACCACCTAAGGGATCATGTGTGAACGCCATCTGGGAGCCAGGCAGCCGCATCGACAAAGGGAAAACTTGTTGAGATCATCCAAATCTAAAATTCACATACATTTTTACATCTGGACTGAATTAATCTTTTCTTGGTACTGGCTTTCATGTAATAAAATAATTGTTTGCAGCTTTTGGGGGTTTTTTTAATCCACAGCCTTAGAAATCAAAATGTGCAACATCCAAGCTGAGGACCACAAAGGATCCCTTTATCAAAAAAGCGAGTTGTGAGACAGAACTCACTGACACTAAACTCTGGACCTGACATCTCAGTCCCAAACAATTCCGCCGAAACTTTCATTTCAGGCGTCTGCCACAAAAGGCTACACCAGTCTATTATGTCATAAGTTCTGAAAGCCAAAAGCTCTATAAGCATAGTTAAAAGTGGAAATACAGTCCAGAAACCACAAAAGCTCTATACCCCCCACCCCCTATTCAGCTGGCCTAGCTGAATGCGTTTTTAAAGAACTCAGAGCTAAAAATTATCACCCAGCACAGGGAAACTTGGCTTTCAAAAGCAGTGTCTTCATCCTGGCCCGTACTGTCCTCCTGTAGAGAGAGGGACATGCTACATCCGCAGTTCAAGTTATGTCCTTGGAGCGGGCAGCTTGCTCCTGTTGTCCCCCAAAACGGAGGCGTGGGGGGACAGAGGGGCTTTCGGTCCCCTGGAGGGTTCGGAGCCCCGCAGGTGGGTGCGGTCCGGCAGCGCCAGTCTCAGGCGCTCTTCCCAGCAAGGCAGAGGGGAGCGAGTGCACGTTACCTCCGCCTGCTTTCTGGGGAAGACGTCCCGCGGATCACTCGACAGCAGGCACCCCCCGGGGACCCTGCTCATGAACAACCCCGAAGGTCCTTTTACGTGAAACGCACATCCAACGCTCTGTTTACAAACACCGAGGAGCATCCAGCGCCAGCCGCCTCCCACCGCGGAGGCTGCGTCCCCCGTCGAACCCAGCGTTCACTTCCCGCGCCCCCCGCCCCGGCCGGCCAGACCCCGCCGCCCCGGCGCCGCGGGCTCCGGACCCCTCCCCGAGGCAGCCCCGCGGGAGCAGCCCTTCTGGCGACACATGCAACACGGAAAACTTCCCCACAAAGTTCTGGTGCCGCGAAGCACCGAGCCTGCAGTCGCAGAGGAAATGACTGACATTCTTGGAAAATGAAGCCACCAGCGGCCTCTCCAACGGCGTCTCCGAAGCCCCGAGCTACAGCCTGCGGCGACGGGGAGGGCTCCGCGCAGAAGCCCGATCCGAATCGACGCTCGTGAAGCCAGTCGACACGCGCTGCGGGTCCGCAGATGGAACGCCGGAGCCCACGCGGAAAGGGGGGGCGGGCGGCCCCCGGCCGGAGCAGCCGGGGCGCGGAGGGGCCCTCGCCCGGCCCGGCCCCGCTCCGCCCGGCTCTGACAGCCGCCCGCCCGCGGAAGGCGCCCCTCGGGCCGCGTCCCGGACGGCCCGGCCCCCCGCCAGCGCCGCCGCCGGCCCGAGGTCGCCCCGCGCAGCCGGCGCCAGGAGCCTCGCCCGGGGCGGCGGACCCCGGCCCCGCGCCCCCGCCCGCGGCCGCCCGAGCGCCCGCCCCCGCCCGCCTCCACCGGGGCCCGCCGAGCCCGGCGGCGTGGGGCCCGGCCGAGGAGACCCGCGCCCCGCCCGGCCGGCAGGGGGCACCGCGCGGCCGGGCGCCGGGGCCGCGTACCTCGGGGAAGCGCCGGAGCACAGGCGCGGGCTGCGCAGCGCTCAGGCCGCCGCTCCTCCGCCGCCGCGCCGCTCCTGCGCTCCTGCTCCGGCTCGGCTCCTCCGCCCGCGCCCGCGCCCGCCCCGCCCCCGCTCCACCCCTTCCCGCCCCGGCCCGCCTCAGCTCCGCCCCTGCCCCTGCGGCTCCGCCCCGCACCGCCCGAGGCTCCGCCCCCGCTCCGCCTCCGCACGGCCAAGGCTCCGCCCCTTCCCCGCCCCTGAGGCTCCGCCCACGCCTCTAAGTCCCCGCCCACCGAAGCTCCGCCCACGCCCCTGTGTCGCCGCGCCCGCCCCACCCCCTGAGGCGCCGTCCCGTCCCCGCCCTTCCGCCCGAGGCTCCGCCCCCGCACGGCCCAAGGCTCCGCCCCTTCCCCGCCCCTGAGGCTCCGCCCACGCCTCTAAGTCCCCGCCCACCGAAGCTCCGCCCACGCCCCTGTGTCGCCGCGCCCGCCCCACCCCCTGAGGCCCCGCCCCGGCCCCGCCCCCGAGGCCCGCCCCGCCCCTTCCCGCCCCGAGGCCCCGCCCCGCCTCGGCCCCTCGGCTGCGGGCACCGCACGTGCAGCCCCTCCGGCCCCGGCCCGGGCTCACCAAGCGTCGGGCGGAGGGGTCGGCGAGTCGGGCCGGGAGGAAGCGGAAGGACCCGCGGGCGCGCAGGGAGCCGAGGCCCCGAGAACATCCTCCGCCGCGCGCTCCCCTGCCCCGCCTCGGAGACCGGCGGCCGCGGAGGATGTTCCCGGGCCCCGGGAGTCGCCGGAACGTGGAGGCTGCCCCCCGCCTGCACTTGGGGACCCCCGGCCAGCCTGCGCCCCCGGGCCTGCGCTGGGACGGGACGCCCGGCAGAGGACGGGACGCCCACGGGCCTCACCGAGGGAGCGAGGGGGTAGGGTTCTGGGCACGACGGGCGGGTGAGGAGACGAGGAAGCGGCGGAGGACCGGGAAGGGCACGGCGCACAGTCAGTGTCTGCGGACGGAAGCCAGCTGTGACACGGCCCTGCCCTCCGATCCGGACAGGACTGTGGAGCCCTGTCGGTGGAGAGGACGCCTGGCTGTGGCCGCGGAAGCTCCCCGGGGACAGCGTCTCAGTCCCAGCTTTACATTCTGCGAACAGGACGTTAGCACCGAGCGCAGGAACGCGGTGCTTGCTCTTGCACGATTGAGCATGCATGCAGAGCTTCCTCGGACCACGCAGAGCACTTTCGGAGGATGCTGCGCTTAGGATTTAAAGTCGTGGCTCCCTTATGGATAGGAGGACAAGAACTATGTTTCAGTGACCGCCTTTTTTTTTGGTTTGTTTTGTAATGACCGCCTTTTAAATTAGTTGTATTTGATTAGCAGACTAAACTTAAAAACTGGGTAACAGTAGTTGATTACAGTGTAGGCATTTAAAAGGGGGAAGATTACACTTTTTTCCTCCTTTTAATCTTCTGTATGCATTCAGAATGCAAGCATATTTAACGCTAGTTGGTAAAGTCTTAAACTGACGTCTACTGGGATAATCCAGCATTTCATCTGTAAGATAAATGAATAATATATTACTATCTTGGAAAACAGTTCCTAAATCTGATTTCATTTCAGGCTCCTTGCATAGAAATCTACCAGAGAACATATTGTTGGATTGTGAAACATTGCTGCAGTATAAAATAACTAGGTAACCCAGCGAGCAAACACTTAAGCAGCTTTGTTTATAACATGTGTTAAGATTGGGTTTATTGTCTAGAATTAGACTGTAGCAAAATTTACTATAAGGATATTTTTTGAATCATAATGATTGTATTAACAGTGTGAATACCACAATAAACATAAACTCTTACATAATACATTTTGTAAACCAAGTACTTTAAAACTCTTAAAATCAGCTTTATAAACCCCTGACACGTCATAAAATCCTGAAAGCAACACATAGTCCACTCAAGATGGAAGTGGAGTTGAGAAGGGATGGGTTGTTTCAGACATTTCTTATCATAGGAAATGTTTTCCTATACTTAGCACAGTAAAGAATGTGATTTGGGGCTGGCCCATGGCCTAGTGGTTGTGTTGGTACACTCTGCTTCAGCAGCCTAGGTTCAGTTCCTGGCACGGACCCACACCACTTGTCAGCCATGCTGTGGTGGTGTCCCACATACAAAATAGAGGAAGACTGGCACAGATGTTAGCTCAGGGACAATCTTCCTCACCAAAAAAAAAAGGAGCAGGGTCAGCCCCGTGGCCAAGTTCTCGTGCTCCGCTTCGGCAGCCCAGGGTTTGGATCCTGGGCGTGGACATGGCACTGCTCCTTAGGCCACGTTGAGGCAGTGTCCCACATGCCACAACTAGAAGGACCCACAACTAAAATGTACAACTATGTACTGGGGGGATTTGTGGAGAAAAAAAAATAGAAGATTGGCAACAGTTGTTAGCTCAGGTGCCAATCTTTAAAAAAAAAAAGTGGGGGGGGGGCCAGCTCTGATGGCTTAGTGGTTAAGTTCAGCATGCTCTGTTTCAGCAGCCCAGGTTCAGTTCCCTGGTGCCAACCTACACCACTAGTCAGCCATGCTGTGGTGGTGACCCACATGCAAAAAGAGAAAGACTGGCAATGGTTGTTAGCTCAGGGTGAATCTTCCTCAGCAAAAAAAAAAAAGAAAGAAAGAAAGAAAGTGATTTTGTAGGTAATAAAAGTTATATTTTATGATTCTTTTTGATGTTGAGATACAGTTTTATTTTCACTGGTATGAGGAGATGTTTTCCTAAATACAGAACATTGCCCATCGGTGAAACATCATCCTAACCACCTCTTAACCCATCACTTTTTCCATGGCATGTAAATATTAACATAACTCTCTATTTTTGCTTTTGTGTTTCTTGGGAAGAAGTGACTCATTCCATGAATTTATTGAGTACTCCAATACACCAGGCAGAGGCTTAGACTCTGGGGCCTCAAAGGAGAAAGTACTCCTGAATCTCCCAGGAGCTTGAGGGAACAGCTGCAGTCTGCGCTAATGCTGGAGACTCGCCACGGCAGAGATTTCCGCAGGAGGAACAGGGGAAGGCCTGAGACCTTCAGGGAGGGCATCAGACATCCCCTGTCAACTGAGACGGGAAGGATGAACAGAAGTCAGCCTGGGCACAAGCTGGTTGAGGTTCTTAAACTTGGTGGCACATTGGAATCACCTGGGGACGTCCAAAAACTGCTGGTGCCTGTGTCCCAGCACGCAATTTAACTGGTCTGGGCTGTGGCCCGGGCTTGCGATGTTTGCAGATGCCCAGGTTATTTGAAGTGGAGACAACCGTGGGAACTGGGCGACGGTGTTCAGGCAGAGGGCGCGGAGGGAGCAGGTGCGCAGAGGTGCGCATTTACAGCACAGCAGCCATCGCTGTATTTTGTAATTGAAGAGGCCCAAGCACTGGTGGGCGATAGTCACACATTTTGGTGTGAGGAACACAATTATATAGAAAGCGAAGAGATGTGAACTGCTGTAATTCACATTCCTTTACAAGTGTTTCCAAACACTGGAATAGTATGTTGAGAATCGAGATGAGTTCAGTATATTAGAAGAAAAAAATTAGTTCCTTTTCATCTCTTATTTATAATTCAAGGTTATTTGGAACTCAGAGTATGTTTTAATGCTGAAATATAAGTTCTAGACAGAGAAGGAAGTCAGTAATTTGACATATTGGCTTTTCAAGGATACTTTCCCCAAGTTAAATACCGTTCATCATGTGGCTGAAGCTCATAATAAAGAAATTAAGCTCATTTTTCCTTTTGGTAATTACTGAAGTTCACTGAGAAAGCAAAACAAAATGCATTTTAAAGCAATCACAATAAATGTAAATTGATCCTTCTCCAAGGTCTTGAATGTGCATTTGCTAACGTATATTAATTTGAAGACAACTACGCACATGTGGACACTTAACAGAGCAGGAACGTAGCCCTGGTTTTCACTGCCTAACACTGAAAATGCCTCTTATTATTCTCGGCTGGTATATTGCTGTGTTCTGTGAAATAAAGACACCAAAGGAGACTTCAGTGCTCAAGAAAAGTCAGGCAAATTGGTTATCAGTCATAATCCAGCTGTCTCATTATTATGCACCAGGAGCCCTAACCAGGACTACAGGTAACGACCTTGCAGGGGCCGCGTGGCACAGAGGTCAGTGTTACCTGCAGTCTAACTCAGGAAGGTCTACCTTGATCCAGGTGGGAGAGACAGAGTTGAAAAAATTAACTTTTGCTCTCTTGGCCATCAAATTTTGAGAAAACATTTAAAAATAGGATGACGGCTACCCTGGGACAAAGTTTGGTTTCCATACAGCATGTTAAAGTTTACAGGGGACATATTTCTTTCCATTCTGTTGTGGTCTTATGTTTGTTTCGCCACAAACATCACATCCTAGCTCCTTGAGGCTTGAATGCTGGACGACCGCAGACCAGGTTTGCTGAGACCAGGAGGCCAGGCCCTGCCCTCTGGAAGGGGGGCGGCTCTAGGTGCTGCAGGCACTGCTGCGGGAGAATCGCCCTGCAGAGCTGCAGTGAGCTCCTGGAGAGGAAAGGCCGGGGCAGAGGCAGGGCAGGGCTGAACTGAGACCCAGAGAGGGCCTCAGTGTGAGAGGGCATTGCCGCCTGTGGGCAGGCATCCACGTAGAGAAGACCGTGGCCAGGTGGAAGAGACGACTCAAGAATAAAACTTGCTGGGGCCGGCCCAGTGGCACAGAGGTTAAGTTCGAACATTCCTCTTCTCGGCAGCCCGGGGTTCACAGGTTCGGATCCCGGGTCTGGACGTGGCACTACTTGGCAAAAAGTCATGCTGTGGCAAGCGTCCCATGTATAAAGTAGAGGAAGATGGGCATGGATGTTGGCTCAGGGCCAGGCTTCCTCAGCAAAAAGAAGAGGAGGATTGGCAGTAGTTAGCTCAGGGCTAATCTTCCTCAAAAAAAGAAAAAAGAATAAAACTTGCTGACGTACCTCACCATTTGTGTGTTTATACAACGGGCCCTAAAGGTCCCTGAGCAGTTTCAGCTGAGTCCTTGATTAGCTGAAAAGCTGAAAGCACACATTCCTGCCCCAGAGAAGGGCAGCAAGTCCCTCCACTGCCCACGCGGGAGACCAGAGCGAAGACACGAGGAGGACTGGGCAATGGGCCTGTGCTCTGAGTTACGCCTCAGGCGCAGTCTGATCATGTCCGTCTGAGAGAGCATCCCAGGAGGAGTCCCTTTCAAACACAGGTGATAAGGTTGTGGCTGTCGTTGAC